TAATGGAAAATAAAACGTGGGTAGCAAGATGAAACGCGATGATGAAACAACAGCTAGTCAAAGTCCCAAAAAATATATCTTTCTTATTTCACTAACAAAGACTAAAAAAGAGCAAAATTTAACAATACGCGCTATTGGGAAAGCTAGTACAGGAGGAAAAGTAGGGGCGAGTCGTGCCAATAAAACAAACGATGAAATTTTTGGTGAGCAACGAGGAAGCGCATTTGCATTTGCTTTGCTGACCCTCCCCAACAAGTCCCAGACCATCTTGAAAAAAATTTGTGTCGTACAAGACACCTGCGAAGACAAAATTTACTGGTCAGTGTATACTTTTTTTAAAAACAGCAAGGTCCCCTCCCACAAGCCTATTTTCCATTAAAATTTCAGTACCACTCGAAGTCGGCAGGTACCATATCGTGGTTTAGCAGCGGCAGTATTCGAGACAATGTGGTGATGCTTAATATAAATACCAGCGAAATTTCAAATGACAAAAGCTTTACTAAGTTGTAACGCGCGGAGAGCCGAATGCTTGTGCGGCTATAGGGAGTGCTACTGTGAGGCTGCGAGGGGTACTCGTCCAAACCAATAAACAATGATTTATTTAAAAAAAGAAAGAAACAAAAAAAAACAGAAAAAGCAAACCACGGAAAGCTCCAAGCTGCCATCGCACAATTATTTGGCACAGAGAAACAATCACCATTTCACTTATAAACACATCATTGTGTATTACGGGGGGAGAACTGGAGTCAGGAGACGAGACATTTGCATATCACACTGGAATCGAAGGGCAACTGGGCAAGGCGAAGAGCTGCTTCGTTTCCTTGCTGTCAACACCTTGTTCCTTTTGCTACAAAGTGCTCCGGCCGAGAAAACAGCTGAGCTCGTATTTCCATTAACAGACGAAGGAGCATTAAGACTGCCAGCACAGTGACTACTAGATGATGCAGCACTGGTCAAAGCAACTGAAGAAGTTGTCAGTCGCATAGCTGGAGAGCTTGTTCTATATATACTATTTATATTATTCATAATAGGATACAACTGCCTTTCGGTTTTTCTCGTAAATTGCAATAAGAAACTTTCAGCAGGAATAGGAAAATGCAAGCTTTGGTACTTTTCGCTCAAATAAAAATAAAAAAAAAATTTTATGAGGGTCATTTATTGGCCCTACAGTAAATATACCACACAAGAATGAAAAGTGCTAGGCACAAGGGCTAAAACTGCCTGAATAACTGGTGTGAGGAATCGATATTAGGTTTATTTTTCCGGATTTAAAAAGGAAGCAAAAGAGACCTAAAAATACCGTTAAAAGTTCGGGGAAAATGTTTGTAATGCGTTTTTAAAGGAAAAAATGCCGTAGATTTTTTTTTGTTCGCTAATTACGCCATTAAACCGCCGAACAAAAAATCTTTCGTTTTTTCTTTTTCGTGTCAAAGAACTTAACTGTGATCAATTTTTCCCAAAACATTGTAATCGCCTATTTTTGTAAAACGAAACAACCCCATTTGCACAGATGGAAATCCAGACAATAAACTAAACTAACAGCTATTACACCAAGATCGAAGGGCCTGGCACAACTGCGCTCGCCACATCAGAACATTCCAGTAACATCACTAACAAGGGATATTCATGCTGATTGCCCGAATGGTCCTGGTATTACAGTAAGATATTGCAGACATAAGAAAACAATGAAATGAATTTCAGGACTGCTGGTTAATCCCGAGCGATACAAAACACTGGAAAAAGCA